CTGATTTCCTCTTTTGCAACCAGCTAGAGGGAACATTATTTCTCCATGATTAGGTTAGACCCACCTGGACAACCTCCCTGTTAAAAAGTGAAATGATTTGGAACTCTAGTTAAAGCTCCAAAATCCTTTTATAGCAGTACCTAGAATAGTGTTTGATGGGATACCTGGGGGAAAGTGTATATACTAGGGCCAAGAATCTTGAGGGCCATCTTAGAATTCTGCCTACCACACCCATGATTAAGAGATCCTATAATGGCACCATCGGTTACTACTGAAAATGGAAACAAATGACTCCAGTAGAATGAATCCTATCACCCATCCTCTTCTTCACAAGTTTCCCAATCAATAAACTGCCCAGTTGCATGTTGGAGCTCTTCAAGGTGTAGAGACCACAAGTATTCCAAAGCTCCTGTAGATCCGGGTGTCTGACTTGAAAGACCACCAAGGAGGATTACACAACAGTCAACTTCAGCACAAGGCTGAGGAGGGGGAGTCACACCTGGGAAAGGCAGCTGTGAATTTCACATATAAGCAAAGGAGAAGGGACAATGCAGTTTTTCCCCAAAGAATTTTGCAATTTTTGACATGGCACTCACTGGCACCTGTCAAACCAATGAATATTTTTGAGGCTACGTTTTAGTTTGAAAAAATGTCAAACTTTTAGGTACAGAAATTTTTTTTTATCCAGTACTCTGATGTTAGAGCTGGAAACAAGCATCATTAGTTTTTCTTTTAACAGGATCTGTCAATTCTATATAGAAACTTTGTGGTCTTATATAAGGCCAACTCTGTTCTTTCCAAGCACAAAGAATTTGTGAAGAAATGTATGCAGAACATAGTGTTCAGACTCTAATTTTGCTCACCTGCAAACTGTCTCCCTTCCATCATAACTTTATTTAAATCATGGATATGCTCTTAATTAACAATTTAATTGGTTGGTGCTTTCTCATTCCATTTCTCTGGAGGCATGGTTTTCTGTTTAACTTTCTTGTTTTAATTCTTCAGCCAAACCATAAAATTTAATTAGGAAAGTAACCAGCTTTGTAACAGCGGTTCTAGGTCTAATTAGCTATTCTGTAACTGTATCTTCTCAGATTTCACTCAACATGGCATATACATTTTGCATTTGTTCATGTTTCAGATAAGATGCTGTGAATTTATAGCTTAAGCATGAACCCCAATCACTTTTCCAAAGATGATTGGTTGTAGCCGGTGAAGTCAGAAAAATTAACTTAAAGCATCGATATATGCTATTAAACTAAGGGCCACTGAAAAGCCAGGATGTAGGGTGGTTACCTTACCATGTGTTACTTTTATGTTGCTGTTCTATTGCTGTAGAGAAAATTACCACAAACTCACCAGCCATTTAACATTTCATAGTTCTGTAGGTCGTAATTCCAGACACAGTTAACTGGATTTTCTTTTCAATGTCTCACTGAGCTAAAAGCAAAGTACCAGCTGGGATGTAGCTTCATTTGGACCTCAGGGTCATTTTCCAAGCTCAGATGGTTGAGGCAGAATTCAGTTCCTTAGAGTTGTAGGACTGACATTCCCATATCCTTGCTGCTTATCAGCTGGGGGTGGCTTTCATCAGGTAGGGTCAGTAGCATTTCTTATCACATGGCTCCCATGGATGGTTCACAACTCGGAAGTTTGATTCTTTTTTGAGACAGCAGGAGCACTTCTTTGACTTCTTCCTCCATGAACAGCTGGAGGAAACACTCTGCTTTTAAATAGCTCATCTGATTAGGTGAGGCCCATCTCAGGTTATCTCCCTTCTGTCTCTCAGGGAGATGACTATCCCATCACATTCACAGGCTCTGGCCACACTCAGAGGAGAGATTATGCAAGGTGGATACACCAGTGGGTAGAAATCTTGGCACCATCTTGGAATTCTGACTACCACACTGTGTTTTAGGGAAAGGAGGCAACTAAAAGCTCCCCTCCCCTTGGAGGAGGTGCATGGAGTGGGGGTGCGAGCAAAGGAGCTGTTAACAACAGTACCAATTCCATCCCATCAGCTCCACAGGGCACAAGATGACAGACAGCCATATTCTTTGTTGTCTGCCGGCTGCTTTCTTTGCCTGGCCAGAATTGCTGTTTTCAGTGGTGCAAGTGGATCACTCGATGGTATCATTTGAATTTAAAACGACATCCAGTTAGCATGATGCTTTTAGAAAGCAAATTTATTTAAGCTCAGTGCTCAAATCTCAGCCCCATAAAACTATTTCTTTAACAAAAAGAAATGAAGAAATGTGCAGAAAAAATTAACACAGCAGGCCTGAATCTGCTGTTGTTAGGTCTGCTTACAAGTTTGGCCATTAGCTGCCATCTGGAAATTTAGGGTGGTAGGATACCTCCTGAAATCTAAGGAGTGGCTCATGCACACCCAGACTGCACAAACTATATAGTTCATGCTGAACACCTGCTTTGGAGAATCCGGAATTTTGGTATGTGCTTGGCAGAGGGGGCCTACATGACTAGGCCCAATAAAAACCCTGGACACTAAGTCTATAATGAACTTCCTTGGTGGACAATGTTTCACATATGTTCTCACAACTCCTTGATGGGGGAATTAAGAACACCCTGTGTAACTCCACAAGGAGAAGCTTCTTGGAAGCCTGTGCCTGGTTTCACCTGCATTTCATGTCACATGCTTTTTCTCTTTGTAGGTTTTGCTTTGTATCTGCTATAATAAATCATAGCCATGAGTAGGATTATCAGCTGAATTTAAGTCTTGCAAATTTCTGAACCTGGGGGTGGTATTTGCGACTCAAGGAATAAAGTAAATGAGAACATGACTGTGTGCACATTGAGTCTAGGCTCCGTATCCCAGCAAAGTTGGCCTATTCCTCTCCATTGAGAAAATGATCAGAGTAAACAGAGGCAGGAGCCAGGAAGGCTTCACATGGGTTCTAGAGCGTTGGGCACTGTCTAGATGTGTGCTCCAACTCCACACTGTGACCCAGGGCAAGTTACTTAACCTCTGTCTTGCCCAATTTCTTTAGCTGGAAAACAGCAATAATAGTATCCACCTCACAGAGTTGTTCGAAGGGGACAATTTATACGAAGCATGTGGCCTTGGGACTGGCACATAGTGCCTAAGAGGGGCTGGATTCTCTGTGGTGTGGAACCACTAGAACATCAACATTCTGGTATTAACCCCTGTTCTTCCCTTCAACTCTGCTCCCCTCTTCCTCACCAGCCCCCTCTCCTTCCCTCCCTTTAGTTGTCCTCTAAAGCTCCTTTGCGTCCAAACCATGTCTCCTACTCCCTACTTCCTTTCCTCAAGGGCTCAATGAACATATACAGCAATTTTTTTAAGTGTGTACAGAAGTGTGCCCAGAAAAGGGCACAATATCATGTATTCTCAGTGTTCAGTCTGACCTATGCTCAACATCTTTTTGTTCCATCTACTACGATTTACAAGAGATTTTAAGTAACCCTCCCAGCCCTCACTGATGTAATTTTATTGCTTTTGATAATGACATGGGATCATCACATATGTAACTATGCAATTTCATTTTTATAACTTTGTAAGGCCTCTCATGTAAATATATTTACAAATGGGGGGAGGAATCGTTTCACAGATGTTTTCTCCCAAAGTTTGGTTAAGCATATTTGTTCCATGAAATACTGGACTCCATGATGTAAAGTGGCTATTTTCCCGATAGGGTATCTAAAACACAATTTTAATGGAGACAGAAAATTCTATTTGAAAGCTGCTCTGCTTCTTTGCAAATGTTAAGTCCCTGGTGGGCTGTTTAGGTAGTGTTGAGATATTGCTGCTGGGGTTGATGATCATACATGACCAAAGGAAAGTTTGTGTCAATATCCTGAAGCAGAAATTCCTTTGAGAAGATGAAGTTTAGGACATGCCTGGAGAGCAGTCTCTGGTATTGGATACAATCACAACAATTTGGGGTGAGCACCTGCATTTTCACTCTGAGCCCTTGTCATGAGACCCAACATTAAGTTGGACAGTGCATATGTAAAAGCTGAGAGTGAGGAGGAAGGATAGAAGGGGATAAACTCAAAGTTCCACACTTCATTTGCAAGTGCATTCAATATTTGAAGGAAATATGTCAAAGGGAAAAATCAAGTCAAAAAGAAAAGACTGAAAGTTCCATAACTGCATCTCATGAAAACACGGAGTCTATCCCTCCTCTCTCATCTCCCTAACATCTTCTCCAGGTAGGATTGTCCTGCAGTCATCCAGGACATGTGCTTTTCTATCTCTTATTGAAGATTAATGAGGCCTTCTTGGTAACCTGATTTGCTATCCATTAAAATGAAGTTAAACCTCTACATATTTTGTGGTCTTGCCTTTGTTCTTCATAGGCATAGAAAAAAAGCCCATCACTGCACTTCTCATTATAACTTTTTAGCTAAAGCTAACACTCAATTATATGCAATAATATGGAGATGAGAAATTCTCTAACTCTAAAATCCACAAAATTCATCAAAGATTGAATAATCAGAGCCCTTCAACCTTTGCCAACAGAATTTTCTAATCAGACCCACTGAAACATACCAAAATTAATTAACTTGAATTTTTAAAAAAATTTCCTCACTTCTGCTTGAAGTTTTAATTAAAATGAAGTGTAGATGATCAGCAGGAAAATTTTAAGAAGGAAAAGTAAAAGTGAAGCTCTAGAAAATTATAAACTAAATTTACCTATTCATTAAAAACAACAAAAAACATTTACTGAACTTGTAGGATATTCCTGACACTGACAATACAACAATGACAAAATAGATAAAAGCTCTCTCACAAAGCTTACATTCTACTAAGGGAGATGGAAAATAAATGAACCCATAACTAGATAATGGGTCAGATAGATCATATTTTGAGTAACCTTAACTTATTCTTTAAAAGCTCTTTCAAGTTCTCCCTTAGCATTTTCTTCCCTTGGCTAATAAACTCCACTTACTCAATTCCTGTAGCAAAGCCCTGTAAACACATTATAAGCATTATAAGTGAGTGGACGCTTTTTTACCTTAAGTTGGTGGTACAGTTTCTTCAGTGCATTTGCTGCTTCTTCTGTACTGGGAATAAGTCTGATCACCTTATCACTATAAGAAAGGGGAAAAATGGTGTTATTCATCTTTCAAAACTAAAGATTTAGCCATCTCTATCTGCTTGCTGTTTTAGCAACTGCCTTTGCAATTAAGAGAAATAGCAAAACTGTGGACTAGACTGACACCAGCAATACCTGGACCAGCAGGTATTTTATCCAGTTATTGTTACTCTCTGATCACATTGGTCTTTTTTCCCCCGCCTTAGAACTATTTATTTTGGGGCCCCTGGGTGGCTCAGTTAAACAACTGATTTGGTTCAGCTGAGATTATGATCTCAGGGTTCATGAGTTCGAGCCCCATGTGGAGCCCTGTGTTGGGCTCTGTGCTGCCAGAGATGGAACTGCTTGGGATTCTCTCTCTCCCTCTCTCTCTGCCCCTCCCCATGCTCATGCACATGCTCTCACTCTCTCTCTCAAAATAAACTTCAAAAAATAATATTTGTTTTTTAATCAGCTTTTGAAAATTACAAACTCACACTTAAGCAGAGAAAGTCCAAAAACACAGGGACAGGGGTAACAGGAGCAAGGATTTTCATGAATAGCTCAGAGAAGATACTAAGAAAGCAATTTCTGATGACAGAGGTAAAAGCACTCTTTAAAACTTAATGCTGAGAAGGAAAGTGACTTTCAAGAAGAGAGTTTATGAAAGCCATACAACATGGAACATTTCTTCTGATTTGGATTCTTCCCACTGAGAACAGTAGAGAGAAGCCCATCTCTATGGGCATCTTATTTCTACAGTATGGAGCTTCCCAACTGGCATGGGGGGACAAATTAGAGGGCCATCAATTGTTCAGGTGTCCCACAAGATGCTGATGGCTATAAAAACTTTTAAGTGATAAAAACTTAAAAGTGAGTTTTACTGCCATTAAAATTGTACCAAAGCTGAGATGATATTTGAACACTCTAAAATTTCTTTCAGTAAAGATCCTGAATTGTGTGAGAAGACTAGATGAGTCATTCTCTATAGCAGTGACCTCCCCACAAGGCATGTCAAAGAGGTATCATTATATCATGATGAGTACAGGTTGGAAAGCACAGCTCTAGTATATAATAATCACAACTGCTCAATGTGTTTTGCATACAGTTGTTTATTAATGGCTGGTATAAAGGAGATCATTGAGAGCAATTGATTTCTAAATAGGTACAACCAGAATATTTTTCATAACCCTTTATAGCATTTTATATTATTATAACATTTTACAACTGAAGATAAAGATTATTAATACCATATATACATGTACATATATATACATACAGCACAAAACAAAAACTCTAGCAGTTGATCCACAACTTCTCTCTCCAGCCTCAAAGGTATACTGGAACAAGGATAGAATTGGCATATTTTTCTATGATTTTACTACTTAGATGAATAGCCGTGTTCAAGGCTAGATAAGATTAATATGGAGGTCATTAGACCCCAAGGGAGACTTCCAGATTTGTTGGAAAATTATTCCTTAGGGCTATGTGTTCATTTCCAATCACTTTAGCTTTGTTATCTCAAATGATCCTGTTATACCTTCTTTAGGTCTATGAATTAAAAGGCCCTTGACTTGTTGATAATTTAGTATGTTTTAGGCACTACTAACCTAATGTCACTTAGGTTTCCTCAGAACCACACAAAACCACCTCTCAGTATCAATGTCATGCAGTCTATTTTCCCAGGAAAAAATAAAGTACAGGGAAAGAAAAAACCAAGTCACTGTGAAGCAGTTCCAAACATGACTTTGTAATTTAAATGTAATTCACACCTTTTCTCTTTCATTTCTGGTACACAGTTCTCTGTCCTTTATTTTTCCTGGCTTCATCATATTCTGGCCTCTCCCACCTGACCCAATATAATTCTTGGCAGAGAAAGGCAACTCTGCTGGGTGATATGGTTGTTTTTGAGGGATGGATCACTTGACAGCTTGCTGAAAAACACCTCCATCTGGGCCCTTATCACCTCCTCAAGAGTGCAAAGAAAGCAATCTGAAGCTGTTTTACAGCCATAGGAAGATTTCTTTTTCTTAAATGATGGATAATTCAACCTGGCAATTGGTTCTTCTCCTATGAGATGGGAGGATAAAAGGATCAAAGATGACCACTCCTGGGACTATTTAATTCTGAGAGTGATTGCTCAAACCCAGCTTTGTCACCTTTATCACAAAAAGTTCACTTCATCATAACTTGTAGAAATTCTCAAGTGTGATTTGAGATATGTGTTTATTACTATTTGATTACTTATCAGAGAAAAAGGAGAATAAGGAAAGTTATTTAGGAAAACCCAATAAATTTCATATATTTTAAACCCGTAAGTTTTATTACACTAACCAGTAACCGAAATCAACAAGAGTGCTCTATTCAGTGTGCAAAACTAAATGCCCCCCCCCCCGCCCACCCCAAATGCCCCACTTGTTCAACCAAATAGCTTACTCTCCCTAGATCTGATAGCTAGTCTTTTTTGAAGCGGCCAACAATAATCCAGTACTACAAACAGGAAGGTTTCAGAATGTAAAGTAGCTCCTGGAACTCAGAGGAAAAACTAGCTAAACATAACCATTAAAAATGGTTGGAGACGCTTTCCTTAGAACTGATTTTTTTTTCAACCACTAGGTGGCAACATCAATTTAAGACCCCCTTTGCTACCCTTTGGGATTGAGAGAAATCACAGGTCTGAATAGGGGCTGAGGTTAGAGAGCTGACTGGGTATGCACATGTGTTTGTAAATCGGGTATTTCAAGCTCAGGAAATCTATATAGTTTACTTAGAAAGCATAGGCACTTTCAATTTTAAGTATGTCCTATAGAGGCAGGATATTCCAGACAGCTAATTGCGGAGTAATTCTATATTCACTCATGATATACTTCAGTTTTGCCCCTTACCTTCCAGGACTAATTAAGTTATGTTGCTATAACGCTAGCACCAATCTGCAAGTTGATTACTGATTCTTATGTACAGTAGCAACCATAGGAATATTAAACACACTTAATCAATGTAAAAAGCATTATTAAATGCCTAATGAGAACATACACATCGAGAAGAGTATTTAGCAAAAGAATACCTTCTCTACCTTTTTACAATCTTCCTGGGCTTCAGTTTCCTCATCAAAGGAATGAGCAGTGAACTAACTCATTTTCCTTTTCAAGTTCTAAAACTATGCTGCTCAAAGCTGATGCCTACCATATTTATTGCTATGCCTTGACTGCAACTCCTATGGGAGAAAGCCTGTTTTATGGGCAACTGGAGAGTACACAGACTCCTTTTGAAAGACATAGATCTGAAACTCCAGGTATTTCCTCCTGGATCTTGGCATAAACTTTCACAATTAATTCCATTATTAAACTCTAAGTTTCTTTGTAAGTTATAGAGCCAATTTATAAATCTATGCTTGTAAAAATAAATCATAGCAGATACAAAATAAAATTCCCCTCCCAGTTCTCTTTCATGACAACTCTCCCATTGTCCCCTAGTGGCCACTGTTAATTTTTCTGTGATTCATTCCTGTCTTGCATTTACACATGGGTATATTCACATACGATGGTTTCGTAACATCTCATAATTTGCTTTTAATTTTCACTTAATATGCAACTTTTAAAACACTTTTTAAAATAAACAGCTGGACTCTATGTGTTACTGTTTTGTTTTGGGGTTTTAGGCCTATATTCATAAGGGAGACATTTTTAAAAATAAGCTTTTTATAAACAAACATGTTCTTTTTGAATTACCCTTTTTTGATTTTTGGTATCATTAAAAGCTAGCCTCACAGAATTGGAAATTTCCCAGCTTTGTAATATGCCTTGACAACTCGAATGAGACTGTGTCCCTGATTGTTTTGTAGAATACACCCATCGAGTTACTCAAGGTGAAACTAACTCTTTTCGACAGTTTAGGGTCAGATATCTACCTTCTGATCTCTTAAGTGGATATTGGTCTATTCAGTTTTCTTCTGGGCTTTTTGAGTTAATTTTGCTAATTTACATTTCCTGAAAAACTTATATAAGATAAACTTAATTAAAATGTCTTATATTTAAGGCATCTTATCTTCATCTGTAGTTTTGTCCCTTTCTATGTGCTAATTTGTGATTTATTTTTACTTTTCATTATTTTAGAAAGAGAGAGTGCACAAGTGGGGGAAAAGGGAAGAGGGGTAGAGAGGGGTAGGAAGAGGGAAAGAGACAGATACAGACACACACACAGAATACCTTAAGCAGGCTCCATGCTCAGCAGGGCTCAATCCCAAGACCCTGGGATCATGACCTGAGCTGAAATCAAGAGTCAAAGGCTAAACCAACTAGGCAATCCAGAGGTCCCTGTTTGTGATTTTAAATAAAAATTCTTCAGACTTGGGTGTCTGGGTGGCTCAGTTGGTTGAATGACTGACTGGCTCAGGTCATGATCTTGCAGTTTGTGAGTTCGAGCCCCGCATCGGGCTCTGTGCTGACAGCTCAAACCCTTCAGTCTGCTTCGGATTCTGTGTCTCCCCCTCTCTCTACCCCTCCCCTGCTCATGCTCTGTGTCTGTCTCTCAATAATAAATAAATGTTAAAAAAAATTCTTCAGACTTTCTAAGAATTGTTTTTTTTCTAAAAAAAACTTTCTAAAGATTTTTTTTTTAAATCATTGTTTTGGGGTGCCTGGGTGGCTCAGTCAGTTAAGCATCTAACTTCAGCTCAGGTGATGATCTCTCGGTTTGTGGGTTCAAGCCCCATGTCAAGCCCCTCTGAGCTGTCAGCACAGAGCCTAGAGCCTGTTTCAGACTCTGTGTCTCCCTCCCTCTCTCTGCCCCTCCCCTGTTCACACTCTGTCTCTGTTTCAGAAATAAACATTTAAAAAAAATCATTGTTTTTGTCAACAAATTGTTTGTATGTATATGTTTTCTACTATATGAATTCTGTCTTCTTTAGGTCTATTTTGTTACTCACGTTTTAATAGGTGAATAATATTCCATTGTGTGTATGTGTATATATACATATATCACAATTTCTTTATCCATTCATTCATTGATGGTCACTTA